CAAGCTATGTTAATAAATTCACCAGTAATCAAATAAATACAGTACAAAGTTAGTTTTATGACACCAAACATTAATTAGCTCTAGAAACTAGTGTCAAAAGTATTCTTTTTCCTGTTAATTATACATTTGTGCGTACACGTTGCGTTCGTGCGAGCAATTTTCTCACTAGTTTTTATTATATTAACATTAAAATGTTCATACACATATGTTATGTACACTCATTTTCCTTGTTCTGTGAATTCAACAAAATGAGAAAAAAATAATGAAACAATAAACCTGGAAAACAGTTTTTAATTACACTTGTTTATTATTATGAAGGAGTATGTAGAGTAAAAAAAAGTGTTAACATAATTTCACAGTGAATATCTAGAACAATGAAGGGCGGCATTACATGTTAATTCATATGTGGCACTTCTCATAATAAATACAGTATAAACTGCTCATGAAGTGATTTTCATTTTCATATGTATGAAAAATATTTGTTTAGATTGAGGCACTGTGGCAACATATGGGAGGGCTTTTAAGCTAGTTTACTCACAAGAAAAATTACAATTAAGCACTTGTAGGATTATTAAGCTTTCTTTTATACTTTTTTATTATTCTCTCGGCATATTTAGTGCCTCTCGAAAGGAATTCACTTAACAGGAAGTGTAATTTATGGCAAAAAATTGTTGTTTAATCCCAAAAAAAAAAGAAGAAGGAAAGAAACAAAAGAGAGTGTTAAAGCAGCAAAAAGTGTAATTAAATGCTTAGGTGCACATAATTCCTTCACATGTTGCTTTCCTTTTGCACATCATATATTTTTTTTTCTCATTCCACTTCTTTTTTTACTTTATTTCGTGTTCTTGTGGATTTTTTGGATAGATTCTTAGGTTTTTAAGAGATCTGAACTTTATAAATGATGTCTTTTGATTTTTTTCGTTGCGATTTTGTGATTATGGGTGTAGCTAAAGCTAAGGCTAAATGGTGTTAAATCGATAAGAATATCGAAGTTGATCAAAACGAGATTTATCAGTTCGGCACCTATGTTCTGTGTAGCAAAACTTAAATTTGATCCCTAAAAGTTCCAAAAACCTTAGAGGTCGTTCACTTATGACGTCCATCAAAAAACCTGATTTTTAGACCTCCCCCCCCCCTCTGTCACAAAAATTCTAAAGAAAAAAATTTCGATTGTTTGAACTGTCACAAAATCCTAGACCCCCCTCCCCCGCCCCTAAATGTCGGACGTCATAAGTGAACGGCCCCTTAAACTGATGCACAATTATTAATCTTTCATTTCATCTGAATTTTCATGCATAAATTGCTTTTAAGATGGATCGGGTATGCGGCTTTGTGTCAGTTCAAACAAAGAAATTTGTTTTTCATTTAAAATGTTTGACAAAGAAGAAAATGACATTTTATGTAATTTGTAGCAAGTTTATGGATCCATAATGTTTAAAGATTTTGAAGGTTTTTCATAAATGAATCCTAGTTTTCACATCTTGATCCGAACTCTACTATGATTTAAATCAAAATTAGAGTCACTCCTCATAGCTGCTAGCCTGCTTGTTTCACTGTTTCAAATTTGTCTCAAACATGACCTTCGAAAAAATACAAAATTCTAAAATTAAAATCCTGACAAAATCTACACAAGTCTTTCTTCTTTAAATCCTGTATTAATGTTGAAGAAAATTAAGAGGTAAAAAAATTTAATTTAAAAATCTCAATTTAAAAACAAAAAAAAATTCAGCTTTAATTTATCTCGTATTCCCTCAACTTCCTTTCCTTTTTGCAGCTCAAAATCATCAATCTTTTGTTTAATTTTCAAAGTTATATTAAATTGAACTAAGGAAGTATTCTATCAAATTGATACGAACGGAAGAAAAAGTTCACCTCATTGAAATTGATTAGAAATTTTTGTGTGCACGGACTCCTTTTGTTCTACGCTAGACTATTTGCTAGCTAAGCGAGATGAAAAAAAAAGGGAAATTAAAATTAAATGAATATTTTTTTTGTATATTTCATTTTGGAAAGTTTTGCTTGTGTCTTTGTCGGAGACTGAAAATAAAAAGTCGAAAGTTAATTTAGAATGCAAATTGCAGCATATAGAAAGAAAAAGTTCAAAAATGATTTTTAAATTTTTTTATTTAATCATATAACGAATTAATATACAATAACTGTTTAGTTTAAGTGACAATTTACATTTAAATATTTTTAATATTAAGTGCTGTACATGCTTAATCACATAAATTACTTATTTTTTGGTATTTTGATTTTCAGAATCGAGTTTCATTTGGGGAAAAAATATGGAAAAATTAAATTTAAAATCTTTATTTTTTAACTGTGACAAAGCAAGGGTGGAGCCTAACCGAGGGTTTGGATGACTTGTTCAATGGTGCAACAAAATTCGAATCATCCTTTAAAGCAGAGATGCAATACAGGTTGCCTCTCAAAGATACAAGTGACAGATCTGTCACAAGTATTGCCTGTTTAAATTTGGCAGGGAGTTACCTGTGACATGCAGTGCCTGTAAACAGCCAATATCTGTGACAGGCGACCAGTATCGCAACTGTGCTTTAAAGCAGGTGCGTTTCCAAGGGTTTGTTATTATCTATAACTTCAAACACCCCCCCCCCCCCCTCCCCCTCCCCATACGTTAACATTACATATCCTCAATAAATCATCCAAGCTCAGAATTTGAACAATTTTTAAATATAGTTCTGCATCAGGAGCGTAACCAGGAATTTGAAGAGGAATTTTTTAGATGTTCCAAAATTAAGACATGACCTCAGACGCTTAAAACCTTTGTTCCACACCTAGACCTTAACTCGAACATTCAGGCTATGTAAAATTACAGAAAAAATTAAATTATTTTAATTTGTAAATTTATTCCAAATTAAAACAGCATAAACTGAAATATTTCAAGATATCCGCAAATTTAATTTAATTCGATGAAAAAAATTTTTTATTTGTTCAAATCTAATTTTCAGCCTGAACACCACCGAAATGTTATAAAACTAACAATTAATGATATCATTGACTAGTAAAAATTTAATTTTCCTATTTTACCGTCGCTCTTTTCGCTTGCTGCTGATTTTGATCACCTCATCCTCGCACTTTTACATACGTGAAGCTGCATTGCAATAAAAATAGCAATTTACATTTAAAATCCATCCCATACTCAATCTATCCCCCCCCCCCCAAAAAAATCAGCCCTCAAACAGAACATTGAATGTGAATATGTGGATGTATGTAGGTACGCTAATATTTAATTTCGCAATTTATAGCATTAGATAATTAAATATTATTTATATCATTTACATACAACAACAAATAAATTTTAATGTGTTTATCATCAAACTCGAGGGCTTAATGTGAATTGTATGTAAATTTTTTTATTATATCTCGCTGCTGCCTATTTTTCCTTGCCACGCATAAAATTATTTCAAGTGGCAATGTTAGAGAACTTTTTTCCTGCTTGCTGTTTTGTGCGATTTTTTTTTCAAAATGGGCAATAAATTTATGCTTTTTCATGAATTAATTAATTTTTAATTTTTACTGTGATGCTCCAGAGATGAGCAAGAATTTTATGCACATAAATTTTCCTCGTATTTAATCCCATTCCCGAGAGTTACATTTTACTTTTTATTTTATTTTATTTTTTTGATGTGCTTAGAAGAGGAAAGTTGAGAAAAATTTTTGATTATTTTAAAATTTTTAAATAAATTTGATGAAAGCATTTTTAAGGAAGTTTTTGGATATATTTTTTTGCAAGCACTAAGAGAAAAGGGGTCAGTAGCGTAACGAGGGGGTTGATTGGGTTAAAAAATCAACCTCCAGATTGAAAATTACTTTAATTTATTAGGAAGAGATCTAGAGGAAGTCCAAAGAATATCTAGATTGGATGTGTTGATAAAGACGCTAGAGTCTTTAATGTCGCTGACTGGCAGTAGGTGTCCAAGCATAGGGCTGTCTTTAGATGATCTTTGTACGTGGCAATATGCGCCCCAGCCAAGGGCAAGTTGTGTGTCATGGGCAAGTTTTTAAGCTACTTCTCTAGAGCTGGACGATTAGTCTGGGTATTTGAGAAAAAAATTAAAATCCCCACTTTTTTTATTTTTAAATTTCTTTCTGTAAAGACTTCTAGCTACTCTACTAATATGAACTTTCCATCGACTCCTAAAGTTGAAGTGCAAGCAAGTCAATGCATGTTGTTTTTATGATAACAAGCAAAAACGCTGATGATCAAACTTTATGCTACTTGTGACTCTATCTGATGGCGGGAACGGCACAAGCCTGCTTATAATAAACCCTTGGTGTATTCTGGGTATCTCGATCTTAAGGCCATTTATCTAGTTCAAACGAGCATTTAATCATACTTTTTGAGATAAACTTTAACCCTTACAGACAATTGAGTGCAATCATGGTACCGTAATATACTCAACAGTATGTTTTAAACATGGTAGCCATAAGTATTCTCCTTTGTCTGTTAGTGTAAGTACATCATAACGCACATATTTTGTCCCACTGTCCTAGGATATAATTAAAATTTAATCTTATTTATACCCTAGAAACCGACATAAGACTGCAACATACTCGGACCACGCTAGGAGTAAATGTTTAAAGCTAATCTTACCCACCTCTCTGCCTCTCCCTTCTGAATACAAGCTCCTCAACTGATTTCCAACTTCTACAAAACTTACTTCAACTATTTTATAGTAAATGCAATTCAGCAACATAGAAAAAATTCCAAAATCATCCTTTAAACATCCCACAAAACACACTCAGGCACCCAAATTGAAAATTCATAAATAAAATTATTTTCCAAAAATATAATTATTCATTCATGAATGGTTTTGCATGTAGCATATTAAATTATACAAAAATGCACAGCTTATTTGTATCTATCGAGGAGTGAGAGCAAAAATTTTGATGATGAGGACGATAAAGCGAAAATATTTGCGGCAATCGACTCTCGCATTCTGCATACGTATTCCCCCCAAAAAAAAAATTATTCACATCTATTTTCTAATTAAATTTTCAATTGTAAAATTTGTTGATTTCAAATTCATTTTACTATCATTATCGCGAGTCATTAAATCGGTATTCGAATGGTCACGATGGTTTACACCACGATTGCATTCATTAATTGCCGCATGGAAATTTATTTGATGCAAAAATTGATTTTTCAACAGCTTATCTAAATTGCTCAAATAATTGGCGGCAGCAACGGAAGTGGTGGATGTGGCAGGAGTCGTGGATGATGGAAAATTTGTGGTATGATCGGTCGCATCTAAGGCATTAATGTGCTTAGTGGTTTCATCATCATGACTTTGTTCAGCTGTTGCCGCATCATTATCACTATTCTCACTGTCATCATAATCTGCCTTTATGAGTGAATTTTGTTGCATTTGTTGTTCATGGCATTGTTGTTGTTGTTGTTGGTGCTCGAGGCTTAATGCAAATGCATGCGCTTGCTGTAAATGAGCTCGTTGCATTAGCTCTGGATAGATAGTAAATGCTGATGGTGATTGTTGTTGATGAAATTGTCCGCTTAATAACATTTTCGCGTGTCTTTGTCGTCGTGTACGTCGTCTACGATAATTACCCGCCTCAAACATATCTGCTGCGCTTGGATCTAACATCCAATAACTACCCTTTCCATTCTCACCCGTACTTGATGTATCATCAGACGATGAATTTGTTAATGTCGTTTTTTCGCGTGGAACTTTTAAAAAGCAATCATTTAGACTGAGATTGTGACGAATTGAGTTCTGCCAACCCTGACGATTACTTCGATAATATGGGAAGCTAAAGGATTAAGGAATACACTTTAATATTATCGTAATAGGATTGTAAACTTTTTATATATTTTTCGTTTTGACTTCTCATGCAGATTATGCATTTAAAGGATTGAATTTCATTTCAATAAATTATAATGCAAAAAAGTTATTTCTAGTCTCAATGACATCCAGTACGATAGACAAAAATATTTGTACTCACTTATCCATAATGAACTTATAAATTCCACTTAAAGTTAATCTTTGATTTGGTGCCGACGAAATAGCCATTGCTATTAATGCTATGTATGAGAACGGTGGTTTTTCTGCACTATGAGTTGCTTTCATAAATGAAAATGGCAATGACCATATTGAGTTCGATAGTCCAAATGAATATGGTGATAATGGTGATAAATATCGATTTCTATTTGGCATAAAATGACAATCACTGTTTAAACTTGTTCCCAAATGCTCGAGAGCTGGGAAATTGGCTGGATAATGGGGTAACATTTTCACGCGCTAATTATTTTGTGTTTTAATTTTACATTAATGGGAATTTTGTGTGTAATCACTGAATATATTGCTCACTGGATCTTTGGTATTTGCTTTTTTGGCACTTTTGCGAACTTATTCAGTTCTTATTTCTAATTCTTTGTTTTTTGAATGCTTATTTTCTAAAATTTGTTTTGATTGTTGATTCACTGGATCTTTTTAATTCATTTTATCTTTGTTCTTCATATATTAACTTTCAATTAAATTCTTTTGATTGGATTATTTTTTTGTTTCTTAAATCACTTAATTTATATTGTAAATCTCTAAAAATCACTATTCAATAGATATCACTGATAATTTCATCTACTTCTAAATTTTTCTTTAAAAACTTAAGAAAATCTTCCAAAAAAAATCTCAAAATAATTAAGAAAATTAGGAAATTCCACGTCCGTTTTCAATGATCGTCTAATTGGAACTGATCGTGTGTGTTTTCTCACTTAAAATACGATCAAATGAATCACTTCCAAGTAAAATACATAAAAAGCATCTAAAAGAATTCTTTTTTTGAGGGAGAAAAAACAGTTTTTTTTTTCATCTCTATTTATTTAATTGTATGCAAAACATCGAGAAAAACATTTTTCTCGTGCTCACAAGGCTTGTTTTCATATTATAGTAAACGATCCCTCAATATAATAACAACACAACTATCTTGTTCATCCATTGTATATATAACGTGCGGCACACATGAAGACATAAAATTCTCATAAAGAAAATAATTAGCTGGATTTTTCGGAATGGTTTTTGGGAATTTGAGAACGTTTTGGTAAAGTTGTGAATATTTTAAGTTTTGGGGTTTATAATTTTGCTGTTGTGGTGTCGGATCAGAGTAGAATTAAAGTAATCAAGACATATTATAGAGGGAAATCTGTTAGTGATATGTTGAGCAAACTCTCTATAGTTATGCTGAGCGTTTGCTTCACATAGGCTAAATCCAAAATGTCTTTACAAAAGAATTACAAGTTTCAAGTCTATTGTATAGCCAGTCTACTATAGTCTATAGTAGCTATAGTCTATAGTAGTTATAGTCTATAGTAGCTATAGTCTATAGTAGCTATAGTCTATAGTTGACTGGTAAGAAATAGACTTGAAACTTGTAAATTCTCTCTTTTATGAAGACGTGTCGGACTGTTCTTTCAAACATTTTATCGAGTATTTAACAGATTTCCAACTAGCAACCCAGAGAGGGTTCCTAAATATGCGTACCACTCTTAGGGTCTGACCCCAAAAATCATACCCTTGCTACGCTGATTATTATTTGTATTAAGGACTGAAACTAAATTCTTTATCCTAAACTAGAATTCGATTTCAACTTAAATATTTGAGTCATAAAAAAATACGTTCTAATCATCTAAACTAAGTTCAACATTTCCAACTTCCTTTTACTTCTCTCAAAGCAAATGATCTTGAGAAAAGAGAAACAAAAAATACGGTTTATGAAGGAAGAAAGAAGAAAGATCCGCAGCAGTTAACACGTTATTTAATTTACAAACAAGAGATTTACTTCTCTTTGATTTTTCATATTCACACAAAATTTTCAATTTTTTTTTTTATTCCTTTTCATGTGTGGTGCAAAAGAAAAATATACGACCGAAATTTGTTTAAATATTCATTTGCTCAATTCGAAAAAAATATAAAAGGAAATATTTCTGAAAGAAATGATCGAGTTTCTTAGCCACGCCTCCTTCACATGTGTGCAGTTTTCTCTTCTTTTCTTAAAACACAGCCTCTTTACATGTAAACTAAGAAATGATGATGATGATGATCGCTGATGCAGAGTGTGTGCGTTTGAGAAATGTAAAAAATTAACAAGGACATAAAAATAATGGAAAATTTCTTTTTAAATTGTCAATTTAATGGAAGGGAAAATTGTTATGTTGAATAATAAAAAATAAACAGATCCTCTCAATTTTCTGTTATATGTACGCATTAATTGCACATTTATTGCTTTTTTATGGTGCTAAATATAGAAGAAAGCGATGAAAGAGTGAGAAAAAAAATTCTTTTAACTTTTAACATTTCATCGATCATAAAAAAAATATCTTTTGGATCAATAAAATGGTTTGTCTTGTGGAAAAAGTTGATAATTACTTTTCTGGATAAAAAACTTGTGGATCTGGATTGAAAGGAAAAGATGTTTGGCTTTAAACATTATCAAAATAAACAAATCAATTAGTTGATCGTTTTGATTGTTTGTAATGACGAGCTCTATCAGCTTTTCTAGTATGCTGATTTTGCTACAGTTCTTGCATCCCTGACAGATTGGAAGGTCATGTGTTTAGACGCTCACAGGATGCCCTGATACTGAAAGTGATACTAGCAGACTTTATGGGTAGAAAAAGAGCAAGAGGAAGACTGAAGAACTATTGAATTGGTTGTGTTGAAAAGGACGCTAGAGTCCTGAATATCTCGAACTGGCAGAAGGTGTCGAAGGATAGAGCTGTCTATAGACTAAGCGCGGCATTGGATACATGTGCGCTCCAGCCGAGGAAGTAAGTAAATAAGTAGTATTTTGATCTGCTGAAACCTTAGTTTTAATCCACAAAACGTCAGACACGATTTAATCTTGACTGCATTAGGTGCAAGAATTTAAATTTGAAAAAAAATTTATTGTTTTTAAGACTATGTTGGCTAATTCAAAAATTGAATCGAACCTTTCGAATACCATCCAGCTCCAACAGCAGTCCAAATTTTGAAGATTTTCTTCACAAAAATTTTTTTAATAGGTTTTCACAATTTAATGATTTGAACAGCGATGTGGAGTGAATTAGTTCTTATAGCAATAAATCGCATTTTTAATCTACAGATTAATTGAAATTCAATCGTTTTTTTCCAACATTTAAGAGTCTCTTCCTACTCCTTCTTTACGAGACCTCGTTAGACCCCCGTTAGTCCCCTTCCTCCCTTAACATGGTGAATCTTGTTTTAGCTCAAACTACTCAAAACACAAAGAAAGTCTCATTCACTAAAAATATAATAATTGAAAGATATTCAGCATAAATAAAACTGTGAAAATAATATCATAGCACATGACTTCAAGCCTCATAAATTTATTTCCTTTCCTTCCTATTTATAAACAACAACAAAAAGTTATTTTATAGCCTCAAAAATTTCTCAGAATTATTGTCAAAGGCATAATCATAAAAATGATATTACATCAGCATAATATAGTCACACATAGATTGCGATGTGTTTATAATAATTTAAAGGAATAATCGTAAAAATAAAAAGTTCACTTTCTATTCACGCGTTACTTCCGCAAAAAGATGTCAAGAAAGTTTTATTGTTAAGCAAGAATTCAGTAAAGGACAATAATTAACACCTGAGCACGCACATACAAATTCAAGTATCTCATCAAATAAGGATGAAAGAAGATACGACAACTTCATGATCCTCTCAAATCACTCAGACACTTAATTTTCCATCCTGTTGTTTCGTATCAACAGCTTCAACAAAATTTTATGACACTTTTAGCTCTCTTTTTCTCGTCATAGTTATTATTGAGACAAAGTTTTGCTCTTTTTTTTGTCGACTTTGAAGGAGAAAGGTTATGATGTTCAATGGGAACATAAAAATTTGTTTCTATATTTTTTGGCTGAAGGATTTTCAAATGAGATTTTTATGACTTCTTTCTTTTGGATTCAGATGTTATGGAGTGAAATATTAAGCGATGAATTTTTAAGGTCGTTTGTGTTTACTATGCGATGTATTTTCGTCAAATTAACAAGAGACACAAACTTTAAATGCTGATGGAGAGTAGCCAATTGGTTGTAATTAGTGATGCTTATCAATAGAATCAGGAAGATTCAGAAAGCCGAAGTCTGACTCCGAAGTTGACCAAATGTCAAGTGCATACCTTCTCGTTGTATCGCTTGATATCGCTAAATGCACAGCTGGCAACCGAGCTCTGTGCTGGAATAAGTACTTTAAAGGATAGATTTAAAGCCTTTCCAAGCAACCTCGTCTGTAAAGTTGCAGCCCCACATTCAGGCTAGGGATGGTGAGGTTTACAAACACATCTGCGAAATCAACATGTAAAAAGTAAGCAACATAAGGTAAACAGGATTGGATCAATAGAATCACTATAGACAAGTCACTTGGCACATTACATGAATTGTCAGAAGTTCTGCTCTTAGAACACTCTTAAGTTTACGTTATTTTCTGGCTTCTATGACTGATCTTTAGTTGCAATCATCTACCAAAGCCAACCAAACGATATTCGAGTAACACAAATTAATTAAATTCATTTAAATAACTTAATATTAAATAATTAACAGAAATAATGAAGCTTCTCAAAAAAACGTGTTCAAAGTAGGAATCGAACTTGCGTACTTATGCCTTCAAAATGCATGGTCTTACGACTGAGCTAATGAAGGCTATTACGAAGGTTACTGTAAAGCAGTGTTGTCCAAACTGTTTGCCGTAGAAAATTTTTGGAAATAACGCGAGCTCCATACTGTGTCCGACTTTGGCCAAGGCTCAAAAAATTTGGACAACACTGCTATAAAGCTTAGTAGATTACCAACTTAATTGGACAGAATCTTTGGCATTATAGTTGTATGGCTTTGCTAGAGAATCTACAGCAGATATTGAAGTAGATTCTAAATTGTTCATTGTGTCGCAAATTTTGGATGTTCACAAGCAATGAGGAAACTGTTGAGGTAAAAAATCCTATCCATAACAATCTGTCACATTCCCAATATCTCCATATAACAATGTAAGGTTAAGAAAAATTGAATGTTAAAGTCGGAAATGAAAAGAACATTAAAGCACTTTCTATATAGATTTTAATATGAAGCAAAAAAACATAAAATTTGTAGTGCATTATAAAAAGCATCAAATTTCAAATTCAGATGAATAAGTACAGCCTCAAAGTGATCGTAAAAACTGGGAAGAAGAAGAAGAGATAGAACAAGTTTAATTAGAATTTTATCACCATGGGAGAAGATTATTTCCAGAAA